TGTGTGTGTGTGTGTGTGTGTGTGTGTGTGTGTGTGTGTGTGTGTGTGTGTGTGTGTGTGTGTGTGTGTGTGTGTGTGTGTGTGTGTGTGTGTGTGTGTGTGTGTGTGTGTGTGTGTGTGTCTGTGTGCTGTAGAAATTCGAGTGTCCGCTCCCTGCGACGTTGATTTATTTTGATCGTTGTTTAGCAGAATAAACACGCGCGCTTTACCTGCGGTATTCACCAACGTTCTTTTGTTAGCAGACGCAGCATCAATACACGCGAGACTACCTGACATGTTAGTGTACACGCAATAATGCGCTGTTTGTCGTAAGCCACATTCGCAAGCACGCTCTGTACACGTAAAAAGACGAGCTCGGCTAAATCACTAGATTAATGTCTTTTATGAATCCCTGTGACAACCGATTACAGTGCACGTCACCCGCCATCCCAATGCATTTTCGTGTATCGCGCGCATAAATTATGTAATTCTTAAAGGAAAAACCGCTAGCGTGCGGCATACACACATCCGGTATCGAGCACTACAACTAACACTCACCTATGTATTTGGAGTCGTTTAGGACAGGCACGGATACTTTCCGAGTTTCCCACGCGAGAAAAGCTCCAAATATTAATAATAAACCTATAAGGGCAAACAATATTAAAGTTTAGTGACGATCGTCAAGACATTGTAAAATTGTTGCATGATTACAAATTCTCGGCAAACGTCATGAAATTCACTCTGACAGTATTTTGCATATTCTATTTGACAGTAGGGGAGTAGCTTTCATGAGCAAATATAGCGTGAGTAGGGGGCGTGACTTTCATAGCACGGATGTGACGTCAACAGCAGAGGCGTGGTTTCCACGACTTAGGCGGCAGGCATGGAATAGCGTAATTAATACGACAGGGCGTGGCCATCAGAGCTCACAGCCATAGTACCCGCTCTCAAGCATACATTACCCGCGCACATTTCAGCGGGAAATTATTATTATGCAATTAGTGCAACCGTTATGAGCACGTACGCATATCGAGCACATTCTGAAAACGGCGAACTACCTCGAGTGATCATTACATTATGGTACCGTATACTGTGGCTACCAAATATCTACAGCGTTAATTGTCACGTAAGCAGCCAAAGTCCACGAGTTCGTTGCAGAGGAGAGCGGACAAATCAGTCAAGTAGAGAAACAGCCTGCACCGCAAGAAGAGTATTGATTCTGCTCTGCATGCTAGCTGGACTTAATTATAACTAATCATGATAAAACAAAGAGTGCGATGACGGTGACGTTTATAACACTGAAGATGACGACTAAGACATCGACGATGATGATCACGAAGACACAGAGTGATAACGCCACCGCTATCGTCAACGTTTAGCGCTAACGCAGACGCCGACGCTGACACTGACGGTGACACCGGCGCTGACGCTGACGCAAACGGTGACGCAGACGGTAACGCAGACGCTGACACGGTCACCGACGCTGACACCAACACTAACATCATTAGCAACACGAATGACGTAACTACAACCACTGCAAATATTTCTATCGACTTACCTTTATATGCATAAAGTGCACCGGCAAAGTACCAGTGCTTCTCTTTACTCTCACAAACTATCATTTGTGGAATGATGAGTTCGTCCTCATTAAGAGGGTTTGGCTGAAAATGACGGATAAGATGATATATACGTCATATGCCCAGTCTCCTCGCACGTGTTATAGCCGGTCATGACGTCATACGCCAGCCTCCGCACATCTGTCTTCGTTACGAATGACGTCATACGCGCAGCCCTCCCCCACATGTGTATTCGTCCCCAATGACGCCATACGTCAGTCTACAGACACGTGCATTCGGTACTCATGACATCATACGCCCCGCTACAAAACACGTGTCTCTGTATTTCACATGACGTCATACGCGCCCTCTCGCCTCCTCGCGCCAGCCCTCTTGCAGCCTTATATACCGCGTTCACACGGTAATGGTTTGGCTCGAGCTAAATGGGCTAAATTTGGCTCGGGCCGGTTTGAGTCGGAGCGTTCACACGTACGCAAGTGAATACTGCCTGTCAAATTCAAATTCAAATTCAAATAAATTTTATTGCACAAATATCTCACAGATACTTTGGCAGTATGTCGCGAGATGGCGTTGCGTACGATTCAGTGTTTACTTCCGTTCCGAGTTAAATTATCAATCTTGAAAACATGCATCCTGATCAAATTTTTCGAATTTTTATACTGTTTTGTACTTTATTTCGTCGAAGTACACGTTCGACAGTCGCGGCATCTACCGCTCTACCGATTTAGCTGGTGTTAAAATTTGGCTCGGGCCTGGTCAGACGTTATCGATGGGACCAAATTGGCTCGTGCTAACTCGGCACGGCCCCGAAAAACCGTCCGTGTGAACGCTCGGCTCGAACCAAATTTGGCGCGGCCCTAATTAGGTTCGGGCTAAAAACGTCCGTGTGAACGCGCCTATAGTGACTGAGTGTGCGTATGAACGCCGCTGGCGCCCCCTACGCTATACCGAGCGTTCTCGCGCAATCTCGCGCGGCAGCTCTCTCGCACCGGTAGACCAGTAGCCAGTAGACCAGTAGACCGGTAGCCAGGTAGACCACGCAGACATTGCGGACGAGTAGAACAAAGGGCCCGCGCAACACGCAGGACGATGAGCGTCAGATGTAAGTCGCATTCCCGCGATATTCGCACGCGAGTGAGATTCAAGTTGCAGTTTCTATACTATAGATAGCCATACTCGTATCAGATACCGCGTGTATTGCCATGACGTTATCACAGAGAATGACTCTATAACGTAGATGATTGATTATACACGTATCAGATACCGCGCGCATTGCCATGACGTTATCACAGAAAATGACTCTATAACGTAGATGGTTGACTATACACGTATCAGATGCCGCGCCTATAGCCATGCATATATGTTCTATAATATATGTTGCACGAATGTCTCTATAATATAGATAGCTTTGCGCGCGACATCTGCAACGGATATCAGCTGCTGCCTGGTTGCTCGGCCATATTCGTTCATTAGAGTAAGACGTAGCCGGTCAACGAGAGATAGATGTACGAGAGGGAGGAGGGTGCGTTGCAGGGGGAGGGGAGAAGAGAATTACGGTACGGTGAAACGAAGTCGCGAGATATGTGCACGGAGAAGATGGCGAGGTATGAAGTGAGGAGGGTGTAGCACGGGTGAAATGCGCCCTACGGTTCGTGGGGAGAGGTGCGGGGTGAGGGCGGTGAGGGGAGGGAGGAAGACTCGTCACGAGGAGGAAGGCACGCCGCATAAGCAGAGCGGCGATGGGCGTGGAATCATCAAGCTGCGCGCGACACAAGCAGTTTCAGCGCGATTGCCAGAATTGAATCAGAAGCGCTTCTGTCTGAATCGTTTTGAACTGAAATTGGCGGCGAACGAAACGAATCACTTAAGTATCGTCATCGTCGCATTCGTCATCGCCAGGTCATATAGAGGGCGGCCCGCATCAACAGCGGCGACGAATATTGTCCGGTCGGGAAATCTCGTATGATTTCTTACTAAACGCGGTCCGTAACCCATGGGTCGCGACATTACAGTAGATCTGCACACAATGTTAATAATATAAGTCGTCTGGGTTCTCGCGCAACTATTCGAACATTGAAATTGACGAATAGATTATATGAAGGCACGGGTCGTCCGGCTAGCAGAAATTGCGTCGTTGACAGAAAAGGTTAAGAACCTCTGTCATAATCAGAGAGAGAGAGAGAGAGAGAGAAAGAGAGAGAGAGAGAGAGAGAGAGAGAGAGAGAGAGAGAG